TAGATCTTGTCATTTAGGTTTTACTTCTTTTATTCATCTGTTATTCATCTGTGACAATTAAATATACATTTCTATGTGTGATCAAACATGACTGTTTATTTGTAATTGGTAAGTAAATAAAAAAATGAACGGCTTTGAGTACATTTAGAGTCATTTATTTTTTATTAAAATGCATATATCGTGCTTTGTCTACAGCATCAGAAACACACATAAATGTATTATTTCACTCTAAATGTTATTTTTGAGAGCTATCTGAGTCTTGCATTTGCTTTAGCTTTACACTAAATTTCTAATATGAAAAAATCACTGTCCTGCACAGTCCTATCTATTTTTTTTTTTTTTTTGATTGATTGATTGAGTTATTTTCATTCTCAATTTTGAATCTCTCGGGTCTCAGCGTGTTCTCAAGCTTTTAACGCTTCTGTATCATGCAATGCCACACTTTATCCAGAGGTGGGCAGTCAGTTATTTCCTGCTGTTCCACATCTGTTTCCACTATCAGCTGAAAAAGTCATCCATCAGTCTCCAGAAAAAGAATGATATTGTAAAAAAATACATGTATTCTGCTGGGCCCTGCAGTAAACTACAACATTTACAAACTTTTTTAATGAGGTAAATATATCTATCTATCTGTATATATGTGTGTGTGTGTGTGTGTGTGTGCATGCGTGCGTGAGTGCGTGCGCACGTTTTTGTGACATATGAGGACACAAATTTGTATAATGACATTGGTATGACAGGTATTACAAGGAGAAGGTGACTTTTGCATGGAGCCCATCAGCCTGGAGAATGAAGATCTCTGCAGTGCTAACAGCTCTCCTGACTAACCTTCTCTTTGGAAGTAAGTGCAGTCTGTCTGAAGTTAACATCAGCTGCGATGTTGTTCAGTAGAGCTAGAAAATCTCAGCATGTCAGTGACTTTTTTTTAATGCATGCATTTTTTTTCCTGAGATTTTTAAGATAAAGCTCAAGTTATTGTCCAAATCAGCCATGCTGACATACGCACAATGTATTTATATAAGTGCAAGCAGTATGACATTTCTCTTTCAATTGTTTGTCTTTTTTCTTGGTGATTCACTTTTTTTTTCTCTGGCTGTGTGTATGTTGTGGTTTCTGACTCCTCCTTCGTTAGTATATGTAACTTAAATCCTATGTGTGTGTGTATATACATGTGGTCACTTTGAGTTTATAAATAGCACAACATCCTCACAGATAGAAATGACACACCAGCTTGTTTTCTTCCTTAAAAAAATGCTTTAAAGCCAATGGAAAATTGTGATTGTGGCAGATTTTATGGATTTAGATTTGCATCTACAGCATTTATAACTTTATATTCATGATTTATTACTACGTATTTAAATGAACATATTCATATTCGCCACTATATGCTTGATTTCATAATTACACATTCAAATTTATACTAATATATAATACAAATATATATATATATATATTCTGCTTTCATGTAATATTCATGTTTATATAACATTTTATACAGTGTAGGTATTGTTTATGTCAAAAACAGTTTATATAGAACATATGCAGTATTAGGTATAAGTAATGTAATAATATTATGCTTGTTTGTATTAAAATAAGGTATCAAAAGTTTGGAATAATTAAGATTATTTTAATGCTTTTGAAAAAAGGTTCTGTTTTGCTCACCAAAGCTGCATTTATTTGATCAAAAACATATACAGTATAAACAGGAATACTGTGAAATATTATTACAATTGAAAATAACCGTTTTGTATGTGAATATATTGTAAAATTGTGGATTTTCAGCATCATTACTCCAGTCTTCAGTGTCACATGATCCTTCAGAAATCATTCTAATATGCTGATTTGCTGCTCAAGATGTCTATATAATATATGTATTATAATTGATATATATACCATTTTAATGCAATACAGAGCTGGACAATTTGTGGGTCGTCTGTTTGAGATCCACCCATATAATGTTCTCCAGATGGCCCGTCAAATAGGCTCATTAAATAGCAGCAAGAGGGTCTGGAAAGACTCTTACGTTTAATTTCCTTGCGTGTATTGCTTTATTCTCTTTAGAGTCTGCAGACAAATTGCTGGCTTACACAACTGGGACACTGAATAAGAAATTACTTGTGTTTAATAATTTTTTATCCTGTTAGAATTCATTTTTCTTAAATATTGTGGCTCTTTTAAAGCAATAGTTCACCCAAAAATGAAAATTTGCTGAAAATCGACTCACCTTCAGGCCATCCAAGATGTAGGTGAGTTTGTTTCTTCATCAGGTTTGGAGAAATGTAGCATTGCATCAGTGTCTCAGCAATGGATGCTCTGCAGTGAATGGGTGCCGTCAGAATGAGAGTCCAAACAGCTGATAAAAACATCACAATAATCCACAAGTAATCCACACCACTCCAGTCCATCAGTTAACATCTGGAGAAGACAAAAGCTGAAACTAATCCAGCATTAAGACGTTTAAATTGAAACCTTAACTTCTGGCCAAAATATCCATAGAGTCCATAACGATTCCTCCAGTGAAAAAGTGCATCTCCTCTTGTCTCTCACATCAAAATCCAGCCACATATTTGTTTAGAGCTGTTTTTGTTTTGTAAACGGTGCTTGATCTGTGCAGATTTCTCTCCTGATTCAGACCACACCACTTTTTCACTGAAGGACGTTATTGTGGATTATGGACTGGAAGCAACGGTTTGAAGTTAAAAACGTCTTGATGGATTTGTTTCTTACAAGCACGTAGCGTTTGTCTTCTCCAGATGTTAACTGATGGACTGGAGTGCTGTGGATTACTTGTGGATTATTGTGATGTTTTTATCAGCTGTTTGGACTCTCATTCTGACGGCACCCATTCACTGCAGAGCATCCATTGCTGAGACAATGCTACATTTCTCCAAATACGATGAAGAAACAAACTCATCTGCATCTTGGATGGCCTGAGGGTGAGTGAATTATTAGCATATTTTCATTTTGGGGTAAGTTATTCCTTTAAATGGTGCATCGCTCTGTGAATGAGATATTTATTTGCTTTGTATTTTCTGATTCCAGATGTGTGCTCAGCTATCAACGTCACAGTCACTCCATCTCCGTTCACTGTGGTGGCTGAGGGGGAAAACATCACCTTGTCCTGTCAGGTGACCCAGCGGCGGCGCTCAGCGAGTCTGCCTGTGGTGCGCTGGATGTTTCAGCCGGAATCGGGAGGAGAGGAGCTGCTGGTGGCGCGGGTGAACATGCGGAGAGCCAAGTTCTACGGAAACTACACCAAGAGCTTCAGCAAGCACAAAATGAAACTGACAGTGGTTAAACAGGGCAAGATATACAACCTCCTCATCATGAACATCAGCGAACAGGACAGGGGTCTTTACAGCTGTAGGGTCCAAGAGTTCAAGAAGCATCAGGAACGATGGAAAGCTTCCACCAACAGCTCGGCCTCCACGCAGCTACGAGGTTTGTTCATATGCTGTTGTGAGCCGGGTGGGAAATTAACGGGGGACAGGAGCAAAAATGCTACCAAAATAAACAGCAATGCCACTCAAACTCAAGGTAGGCTCATTGTGCTCAAAATGTGCCTCTGAAAAAAACATAACTATAGGTACAATTCACTATAGTTTTTAGCTGAAATGAACACTAGTGGCAGTAAAACACCAACAACTTTTATTCGTATTCACTTTGATTATGAATAAAAGCTTAGATTTGTGTGTGGTTCCCTCCACAACACTATGTTTTGTTCTCAAAAACTTTTACCATAGTGCATGATTTGTAAACTAATAAATTTTGATGTTTGCATCACAATCAGCTCCACATGTTTGACTTTTCGATAGCTCGGTAGCGCACCCGGTAACAGCATTGCACTTGTGATATGAAGCACTCGGGTATGAGTCCCGTCAAACACAAGTTACAATAAAAGAACTCAAAGACTTGTAGAAGCTAGATAAAATAACATGACTGATTCATTTGTTTTTGCTAACACTATTGGTTGGGTTTAGTGTTGTTTTATCGTAAAGTTGTCAAATTCATGTTCATTTGCACAGGCATGTTTGTCCAATGAGCCTGCGCTGAGTGATTTGTTCATGGCTGTGAAGTAAACTAAAAGCAACGGGTAAGAGAAGATTCCTTCATATGAGCCACTCAATCTTCCTATTTCAATAATACACCAACTTATGAAAGACCATGGTGCTTGTCAAGCCATTTCATGGGATCTTCGATTTTGGAGGTGTAAAAAAAGCTCTAAATTTATATATATATTTTTAAAGGTATTTAAATGTTTTAATATAAAAAAAAAATGTCCATATGCTGTTGTGAAATTAATGGGGATTGGGCCAAAAGTAATAACCCTGCATAATCAAACTAACCTAATCAATTACTACTGTCAGTGTTAAAGTAACATGAAAAAAAGTGTCGATTGAGGCATAATACTTAGATCTGCTCACGTTGCAATTATTTATTTTTATGCAGCATTGAGCATTATAACCAATGTTGAGTTATGTTATTGGTAGATATTACCAATGTTATTGAACGTTTCAGTGACGTCCTTTGCTCACGTTCTGTATATAATTGTATGCCAATTTGAAAAACGCTTTGTTTTTCGTGGTGTTAACATAACCAGTGTAAAATCTTGATTTAATAATTGCTAAAAAGGAAATAATGGAATACGGAAAAGCTCATTTCTGACCCTCGTTTTGAGTGACTGTTTGTTGAGAGTTTCTCTCATCTAGACTCTTAAATTGTCTCAAGGTTCGAAACATCTGACAATATACATAAGCAACAGATGTTGAGAAACTCCTTCGGTGTTGTGTGTTCGATTTTCCATTAACAACATGTGGAAATGTGATCTAATATTTATGCGTTATATATCTGTCTTTTGGCGGTCAGAGCCGAGTTGACAACAAAGTGAACACTGGCGTAGCGACAGTTAAACGTTATTGACACTGGCTGCAGAGTGCAGTTTTCCTTTACTAACTTACTGTACAGACAAATACGCAAGCAGCACAGAGGATGGAGAGGCTGTCGCTCTCTGGATCCAGGACAAAATAAGTCCATATGTATGAAGAGCTTTGCAGCAAAGCAGCAAGAATAAGAGGAAAAATGGGGTCAGGGACTCGACTACTAGATCAGAGTTTCCCAAAAAGGGCTGCCAGAGCTCGCTGTGGGAGGGTGTCGCCTGGCCTACTTAAAGACGTCACCAAATCAAAATTGGATGTTTGTGGCTTTAAGTCCATGCGTGTTAACTTTGAGACCTGCTACATGTGAGTGTACTGCCAAGCATCTGCAAAATTCACTTTTAGCAAACATTTAAAACTTGCAGTTTCTCCCTTTAGGTAAAAACTACTCTTGGTCGACTCCTCTTGTATACAAATGTTCGTCAAATCAACCAACAATGAGCAATAGCAAGTATAGCAAATCCAACATAATATGTATATGTAATATTATGTTCATTGGAAAAACGTGCCTTTACCTAAATTTTTGTAAAATATGTCGGCCTACCTAGACATTCAATCCATTGCCGTTTCCAATTGAAATGAACACTAGTGATAGTAAAACACCAACAACTTTTATTTACTTTTCACACAAATTATAATTACAATGCAGATTATTAAAAACTTGTGTGGTTTCTTGTGCAATACTATGTTATGACCAAAATGCTATTACTATAGTGCATGATTTGTAAACTAGCACATTTTGATGTTTGCATAACATAACCATGCATGGCTTTACTAATGTAGTAAACTTGCTTGGTAGGGCACCCGGTACAGTATTACACAGCGCTCCCTTACGAGTCCCGTGAAACACGAGTGTCACGAGTTATGATAAAAGAGCTCAAAAACTTGTAGAAGCAAGATAAAATGACATGATTGCCTAAGCAAATGTGTTTTTATCTCATGGTTGCTTTTGTTAGCACTATTGGTTTGGTTTACGCTGAGTTTAGTGTAGCTGCTACATTATTTTCAAATGCAATGGAGCATTAACCGTTTAGCACCAGTCACTGGACGTTACATTTCTGAACTTCTGCAATATGTATAACAACCAACATAATGTTGCCAAATTCTGTTTCAGATAAAACTGAACATGCTTTTAGCACCACTCACTGGACATTTCACATTTAAAGTGTCATAAAATGTGCACATTTTGCCTAAATACTTCCACAGTCAAACCTCCTATTTCAATAATAAATCAACACATGAAAGACAATGGTGCTTGTCAAGCCATTTCATGGGGTCTTCAATTTTGGAGGTGTAGAAACATTTCAACAAGTCAATGTGAAACTCTGTTATTGCTGTAATTTGGTGAGTGAAAGATATTTTATCCATCAGGAACTGATTTGATTAGAAATCTGAGAGTTACAAATAAGAATAGAGTCAAGCAGATGGGTTGAAAAGTAAGAGAGATTCATGACTTCTGCTGAAAGGTTGTTTCATTTCAGTCGTTCGATTTCAATAAAATATTACAAACCATTTTTTATTTGGAATAATTCTTTGCAGCATATGATAAATACCAAGACTTGCATCAATAAAGTAAATATGATCAACTCTGATGACATGTTAACTTTAAAATGAGGATTGCTTGAAAAAAGGGGATGAAGAGATTAATGACTCAAATAAGCTAGTCGACCTGCTGTTTCTGTGGCCTAGCCGTTAGATAACCAGACAATTTCTGATTCTCCAAAATGTCCCCTCTTCTCTTTTGTCTTATTCTGTAAATAAAATGCTAAAAGTATGGTGGCCGAGAGAGCTCAACGCGCTGCAACTTAAAAAAGACACATGCAAATAGAAAAAGCACCAGTAAATTAAGAAAACATCTTCATCAGTTTGTCAACACGTGCTGCAAATACACAAAATACAGAAACACACTGCAAATACTCAGAACACAACCCCAACAACCCTTATGAAAATTAGCTATGGTTTTATTATAGTAAATGTGTAGTAACTGGTTTTTTTTTTGGTGCATTGTTTACCATTTGCATAACCACAGTTGTGCGAATACCTAATAACAAATACCATGGCTAAATACCATGGTAGTAAAACCATGGTTAATTTTCATAAGGAAAGTTGTAAGAGTAAGTTAGCCAGCTTACGTAACGGTTCACAGTTACAGTAATTGTTTATTTCGTCAGGTTATTTAAGCTATAATAATATCCAAAAAAAAAAAAAAAATAGCTAAGGAATCATATGATCAGGGTGTTAAAATAAACAAAAATCTCACCTTTCAGAGTAGAAATTGATAAGTATGTCCCAGCCAGGTTCCTCACTTGTTGTGGTTCCCTTAAACATTTCCGATGTGCTTATTTAAGCTATAATAATATCCAAAAAAAAACAAAAAACAAAGCTAAGGAATCATATGATCAGGGTGTTAAAATAAACAAAAATCTCACCTTTCAGAGTAGAAATTGATAACCATATCCCAGCCAGGTTCCTCACTTGTTGCGGTTCCCTTAAAGGGGTCATCGGATGCCCATTTTCCACAAGTTGATATGATTCTTTAGGGTCTTAATAAAAAAAGTATATAACATACTTAACTCAAAATTTCTCAATGATAGTGTAAAAAACACCTGTTTTACCTTGTCAAAATCAGCTCTGTTTTCAGCACGCGGTTCTAGTCCATTTTGCTTTAAATGCTAATGAGCTCTGCTGCCCCCGCCCCTCTCTTCCGTGGGTGAAGGAACCGTGACCAAGACTTGCATCAATAAAGTAAATATGATCAACTCTGATGACATGTTAACTTTAAAATGAGGATTGCTTGAAAAAAGCAGATATAAAGATATACAGTATAATGACATGCGAAACAAAAATTGCATATCCAGTAGCTACTGTATGCATATAGTTCCTTGACTAAGCTATTTCATAAAATTACACAAGAACTTACTCTTACTAACTACTTAGTAGGGAATGATTATATACTCCAGTTGATGCATAAACATACATAAACATAACTAACAACTATGTGAATGTGTGCTCCAACCAACCAATGAGATATCCAAGTAAAGTAGTCCCAAAACCAAGCCATACCACTAAGCTCAAAACTTTGTTTCCTAAAACATGATCACATTTTCCACTGACAGTGTTTGTAAGGAGAACCATTGAGTGTCTCTGCCATGTGAGGACGGATGTGGTGCAGATTTAAAAGCACACTAGAACAGAGAAAGCAGGGAATACTGACCGTGTTTGTGGGTTCGACGAAGCTGTAGGGAGATGTTTTGTATGACTCTTGTCTTGTCAGAATGTGATGCAAATCAATAACGTCTATTGAAGGCTGTTTCTGTGAAAAAAAAATAGATTTGACCTAAATGGGTTGTATTATTTATGTAGTTTTGTTGTGGCCAATTTTGTTTCCATTGCTCAAAGGCAAACTTATCATATTGAATATAAGGCACGCCAACCATCGAGGCTTAGTAAATGTCACAGTGTGATCATTCATATTGCCAAGACAGAGAAGAATGCTGCTGACTTTAAATTCCCTACTTTTTATACAGTTTCATATATTCGCTACTTCTTTTCATAGCTGAATGCGCTGTGGTCGTGCAATGAAATAATTAATATGTCAGCTGATGCAGCTGCTCTGTTGAAACATGCATCTCTATTCATGCATCTGTGAGGTCTTCAACAAATGACTTTTGGCATCCTGTACAGTGACAGAAGCCTTCAGTAAACCACTGGAGATTTTGTATCTGGCTCCTTTTTTGAACCATATGACTCAATAGAGCTTTTGTCCCTCCCCAGTTCGGTCAAGCATGAGCAAGAGTTCCAAAAATAAGCACATTTCTGCAGTAGAGAAATAAATATAGTTCATGTGCAAGCAGAAAAAGCAGAAGACATTTGCAGTGTGGTTAATAAGAATGCATAGACAACTGGAAATGCCGTACATGTTCGAAATTCTAATTCTGTGTCAAATGCGACATAGCAGTTTCTAAATATGAAAATGTGATTGATTTTAAAATAGGGATTAAAAAAAAAACACTGGGTGGATTTGTATCATTATAGGGCGGATGTGTACACACACTTCCAACACACATTTATGTTCAAACAACAACAAAAGTGAATTTTGCATCCGGTGACCCCTTTAAACATTTCCAATGTGGTCTGTGTGTATTTGAGTTTCTGTATTTGGTTGTGTTGGGAGTATTTGCAGCGCATGTGTTGTCAAACTCATATGTGTGTGTGTGTGTGTGTGTGTGTGTGTGTTTTTTATTTGCAGC